GTAGAACGATAATTGAGATGGAGTGCGTATAAAGAATTACAGATGGTCAAACGGCTGCGCACTGAACTAGCACGTGGACAAGAGAGAAGAAGCATCTCGCGACAGCTTTTCGGAGGAATCGTTTTAGGTTTTCTCGATCGAAAATGGCGGCGGTGGAGAAAGGAAGGATTTGCGTAACCGGTGCCGGAGGATTTCTAGCTTCGTGGGTCGTCGATCTTCTCCTCTCTAAGGATTATTTCGTCCATGGCACTGTCAGAGACTCTGGTACTTGCCCTTTTTTTCCCTTACCTCTATAAAGATCTGTACTTGACGGGACCAGTATCGTGAGGAATTCCATAGAATCCGAATTTGTAGCTCAACGTCAAAGAAGTGTTAGCTTTTGAGTTTGATTGTTGTTTACATGGTTCTATGTTTGTAGATAATGACAAGTATGCTCATTTGATGAAGCTTGAGAAAGCCGGTGAGAAACTGAAGCTCTTCAAGGCTGAATTGCTGGACTACGGTTCTCTTCAATCCGCAATCGCAGGTTGCAGTGGTGTCTTCCATATCGCAAGCCCTGTTCCATCAAGTATAGTCCCAAATCCTGAGGTGAGAATTTTCATTGCTATTATCATCTCATTGAAACTATTTACAATCGTCTCACTCTGCTGCGGATCTTCCACTGGTTTTTTTGGCAGGTCGAAGTGATCGCACCCGCTGTGGATGGCACGCTGAATGTGCTCAAAGCATGCGTTGAAGCAAATGTTAAGCGTGTTGTGTATGTTTCCTCAGCTGCTGCACTTGCTATGAACCCTTTGTGGTCTAAGAATCAAGTAATAGATGAGACTTGTTGGTCTGACCAGGAATATTGCAGGAAAACTATGGTTAATGCATCTTGAATCCCTGATCTCACTATTTTCTCACCTTTTTTGTTTACTAAGTTTAGTCCTTCTTGCAGAATTGGTATTGTCTGTCAAAGACAAAAGCAGAAACTGAAGCTTTCGAATTTGCGAAACGAACTGGAATTGATCTTGTCAGCGTTTGCCCTACCATGGTCTGGGGACCTGTACTGCAGCACACAATAAATGCTAGTACCCTTGCTCTTGTCAAGCTTCTTAAAGGTATGTAAACAAGCCTTAACATACCTGGGACCGTTTAGAAGCAACTTGGTACATGGGTTGGTGAATCTCGGGTCTTGATTTTACTTCTGGTGTGGTGCAGAGGGTTCTGTATCGCGGGAGAACCAAGTGCGAAATGTGGTAGATGTGCGTGATGTGGCTCAAGCTTTACTTTTGGTTTATGAGAAAGCAGAAGCTGAAGGAAGATACATATGCACATCCCACGTTGTCGAAGAACAAGATGTGGTTGAAAAGCTGAAGAGTCTTTATCCAAATTACAACTACCCAAAGAAGTAAGCAAACAACAACACATCTCTCTTCTCAATTTGCACTCTCAAAACCAGCCTTGACAGTGAAAATCCTAATAAAGCTGTTTTTTGGCCTGCAATAATTGCTTTAAGAACGGAATATTTCCTGCGTGGTTGATCAGTGTCTGAAGTTTCTTCAAGATCTTAACTTTGATCCAAGCTCTACTTATGCAATTTCAGATACATCGAGTCGGAAAGAAAGTTGACGATTAGTTCAGAGAAGTTGCAGAAGTTGGGTTGGACGTTCAGGCCTTTAGAGGAAACACTTGTGGATTCGGTAGAGAGTTACCGGAAATTTAAGATTGTGGACTGAAAACTTGGAAAGAAGAGCAGAAGAGGTCATGTTCTTGGCTCCATGAGTTCCAATCTGCAATCTCTCTCCTATCTTTACTCAATAATAAAAGAGTTATGTATACATATCTTCACCATCAAGAATTTCTTGAGTTTTCAAGTTATGTAATGTTTGGTATGCAATCACCTCAAATGTACAACTTTTATTTTGCAAATTTCGGTTTATCATTTGTAGTTCTCTCTTTTTATTACTTTTCCATCACTTTCTTTGTTCTGAAAAAGTAGAAATTTTAGCTCTAATGAGTTTTTTAGCATTTAGAAGTTAACCCCAAACAGTAAAGTAGTAATCTCTAAGCATTAAGAAGTTAACCCCAAATACTAAAATGGTAATTTCCAACGGGCCTAAGGTCCAGAACAACTGGACTCGGACTCGTTCAACTGTCGGACTTTTTTGTTGCCCTGCTTTGTAACTAGATTACTTTCCTCTCTTCCTTCTCCGGCGAAGTCATGACTACGAATGCTCCAGTTTCCGGCGGACCTGGAGAAATTCCTTCGGTAACTTCCGTCGTGTCTGAAACTCCCTCGGGCGTCACCGCAGCTTCTTCTTCTACTTCCGAAACCGATTGTATCTACATACCTAGCTACTCTCGTAAGTCTGCAACCTCGAACAACCTTTGAATTTTGTTTTCTTCACTCTTTCTGATTGATTTTGTATCCGTACCCTCGATTTGACGGATTAGGGTGGTTTTCATGGACCGACATCAACGAATGCGAGGTCCGGTCCCTGCCAGATTTCTTCGTTTCGAGATCTCCGTCCAAAAACTCTAGGGTTTACCTTTACTTGAGGAATTCAATCATCAAGCAGTACAGAGACGACCATCCTCAGAAGATTAGCTTCACGGACGTTCGGAGAACTCTCGTCGGTGATGTTGTCTCTATTCGTCGCGTCTTTGATTTCCTCGACTCATGGGGGCTTATCAACTATTCTAGCTCCACCTCTGCTAAGCCTCTCAAATGGGACGAAAAGGAGGCCGGAAAATCCGCCGGAGATACTGCTTCCGAGCCTCTCACAACCGCCAAAGAATCTGCCAAGAGAATCTGTAATGGCTGCAAGTCAGTTTGCAGCATCGCTTGTTTCGCCTGCGATAAGGTTTGATATCCTTTTTATCCCTAACACTGAGTTTGTCACTTGGTTAATGGTACTAAGAACATGTCAATAGCAAAAGCCTTTACTTATGATACATAACTACATGTTTCTTTTCAGTATGAGTTGACATTGTGTGCGAGGTGCTATGTTCGTGGTAACTATCGTGTTGGTATTAACTCCTCCGAGTTTAAGCGTGTTGAGCTTAGTGAGGAGTCGAAGACAGAGTGGTCCGAGAAGGAAATTCTGTTGCTGCTGGAAGCTGTTATGCACTATGGAGATGACTGGAAGAAGGTTGCACCGCATGTTACTGGTAGAACCGAGAAGGATTGTGTTTCTCAGTTTGTCAAGCTTCCGTTTGGGGAACAATTCGTGAAAGAATCAGACTCTGAGGATGCTTTAGAGACATTTGATCAGATCAACGGCTCTGGTAGTCCTGAATGTGGAGGAAGAGTTAAGGACGGTTCTTCTCCCAGTAAGCGAATGAAACTGACACCTCTTGCAGATGCAAGCAACCCAATAATGGCTCAGGTTTGATATTCACTACATTTTCACTATATATGTTCTCCAATCTCTATGTTAATCTCTTGTGCCAAATGAGAATTGAAACTTTTTGCCGACAAAGTACAAGTATTCTTAATCAATATTGTTGTTAAGGCTGCTGAAGAATAGTCTACACTCTTCACTCGGCTGTTCCATGACTTGCGTAAATGTCTTCTTAAGACCCTAGAGCTAGATACCTTGTTGGCCTTGCTTTTAATTCTTGAACACTTGTAATACCGAATTCTAGGTGACATATAAGTGGCATTGAGGAATTACAACTCAATTGTTATGCTTCATTTGGTTGTCTCTGAATGAGATGCTTCCTATCATGTCCTCTCCAGGCTGCTTTTCTTTCAGCTTTGGCTGGAACAAATGTTGCAGAAGCAGCAGCTCAAGCTGCAGTGACAGCTCTATCTGATGTAGACAACAAGGCTAACAAAAACGCCGGTGGAGACCCAAATCGACAAGGTATCATCAAGGACCAATTACAGTATTTTTCTCTGCCAACCCAACCCAATAGTGACATTTTTTTCTTCTGATACACAGAGGCCAATGCTGCATCGGGTGGTGAAACCACTAGAAACGACTCAGAAAGAGCTTGGGCGGATGCAAAATCCCAGGTTGAGAATGAAGAGCGGGAGGTAGAAGGAGGCATCAGAGAGATTGTAGAAGTGGAGGTTAGTAATAATCTCCAACCTCCCATAAACATTTCTTTCTGTGGTTATGCTTGGTTATTGACCGGTGGAAAAAACAAAATTGGTTTAACAGATGGTGAAGATTCGAGATAGGATTGTACATTTTGAGAAATTGGATTTGGAAATGGAGAGAAGCCGGAAACAGTTGGAGGAGATGAAGAATCTGCTTTTCGCCGATCAATTAAACATCTTCTTCCACACAAGAAGAAGCCGGAAAGCAGAAGATAAAGTAGAGAGTTAGAAGTTTGAAAGTATTGTTTCTTCATTTGATTTTCTCTCGTTAAGAAGAAGACTTGCTTTGTAGTTTACTTGTGATGCGTAGTAACAAAATGAGATGAGATCAAATTGGTAGAAGAAAATAAGGGTATGATATGAAGATTAAACCGCACTGGTATGAAATTTCTCAAACTAAAACTGTAACGAAATTTTATGTTAATAATTGCATGAGAAACTTCTCAAAATAAAATTGAAACAGAAGAAAACAAAAAATATTACAGTTACACAGTACGTTGAAACCGCATTTAGTTCTTTTGTTCTATCTATTTTAGTTCAGTTATGATCAGTCTCAGACATTTATATCGTTTCCTTGTTGTTTAATAGTTAATCCATTTCAAGAAAACTTAGCTTCACGCTTTAGAAGTGGCAACGAGGAAGAAG